CAATCCAACCCACTCGGGTTGCGGGTTAAGTGGGTCGACCTGCACGAGTTGCGGGTTGACCCGCGAGCCAAAATACAACGTATAGTTTTGACTTTCATTATCTTCAATATTATTCTTTTACTACCAAAATTATTATATTTAGGATTATAAACTTATCATTTTACAACCATTGCAAAGTACGTAGTAATTATTATTTCTATCACAACTATTTAAATAAATCGTTCATCCATGTATTTAATGTAAATTTTAACAATTAATTGTCATGATTCCGATGTATTTCAGGAGAATTACATCGACTAATTTGAATTGAGCCTCCATTCTTGAGGATGTATTTCAGGAGTTCTAGGGTTGGCCCTGCTCCCGGCAGCCAACCACTCATGACCGATCCGATATATGGAATTCCAGTTCAGTAAATACAGAAGATTTTGTACTGCCACCCATTACATTTGGTGTGTCCACAAACAGAAATACATCTCCATATATAGATTCTGAAGGGAGGTCAACTAGCTTATAAGCATTGCATATTCTTCTCTTAATTCCCTAGGAGTGTGATATGATATTTCCAGTACATGAGACACTAGGGGGTGCCTCCCACAAAGTACCTCAAAGTTTGGAAGTAATAGACGCGGATCGTTTGGTTAGGGCAATTGCCACCTTAGAGCCTAAAGGTCAGCCCAAATGCTTGCAGATGAATTCTCCGGCCAACATAAGCTTTGAGATATCTACAAATGTTTTCACTCCCATCCCATTGAGCATATACACAACATCTTCAGTCGCCACATTTCCTGATGCACCTTTGGCATATGGACATCCCCCTAGTCCTGATACAGATGAATCCACTGTGCTGATTCCCATCTGTCAACATAGCCACCGCCTTTCCAATTAACTTCAGTCTTTCAGCCCCCTTTAGATCCCAGGGAAAGATAGGAAAGAAAAACAACAAACATAACCGACGATTATCTATGTTGACTAGTCAAGAGCTGGGCGAGCAAGGATCGAGCCTGAGCAGCTATCTTCGCCTGGCGAACATGGGTGAGCTGCTCAAGGATGTCAAGATGAGATTGAGCCAAACAAGAAGATGACTGCGTGGTACAATCTCGAGCATTAACTGAGCAGCTGGGCAGCACACATTCAAGTATAGCCGTCAAGATAGGCTGAAACTCGCGGGTTGACCCGTTTCAACCCATTTATTGATGGGTTAGGGTTATCATTTTCTAACTCAAATAACTCACGGGGTTTGCAAGCCAACCCCCTCGGGTTGCGGGTTAAGTGGGTCAGCCTGCACGAGTTGCGGGTTGACCCGCGAGCCAAAATACAACGTATAGTTTTGACTTTCATTATCTTCAATATTGTTCTTTTACTATCAAAATTATTATATTTAAGATTATAAACTTATCATTTTACAACCATTGCAAAGTACGTAGTAATTATTATTTCTATAATAACTCTTTAAATAAATCGTTCATCCATGTATTTTATGTAAAGTTGAATATAATTTTTAACAATTGATTGTCATGATGTACAAATAATAATATAAAACTTTTAAGTAGATCTTTAGTTTTATAAAATATTTGAATTAGATACACTATGTGAAGTGGAGTGTACTTTTTAGCAATTACTCCCTCCGTCCCGGAAAATTGTTCCCACACTGACTTGGAACGGATATTTAGGAAAGTTAAAAAAACCTGTGACTTTCCCTAAATGCCCCTGAAATGAAAAAGAAAGGTTTGGATGGGGGAAGCTGTCGCAGGGGGAAAAAAATTTACTGCACATGATCTGAAATGCTTTACACTGCTCATGATATGAAATTCTACAAGTACTAATTCAGCCTATTCTTTGGTGTTTCCTGCACCACAAATCCCCCCCCCCCCCCAACATTTCCCTCCTTTTTTTGGGAAAGTATCTAAACAAGCCACATATTAATACACATTCTGAAAACAACAAACCACAACACACTAACACACACTACACGTTGCATTCATGGCTGCACACAGCAGTGGCGGGCAGAGCTATTCCTCCCCCACAGCATGTTCTTCTCCACCTGCATTTATTGATGTGGATGCTTCCTCCCCCACTGCATCTTCTCCAGCTGCATTTATTGATGTGGAGGCATCAACTGGAGTAAATGAGCTCCTGCACACACCAACAAATGACCAAAGCTCAAATATCAAAGAACACCCTAAAATCATCACCCATATTACCCATACCAGCCTCACATAACCCTTACTCATTCAAGCCACATAACAACAATGCTCAAACCATATATGCATCACTAGAAGGATATTTCAGTACATAAGAACACCCTAAAATCATCATTATTGCTCCATAATCAAACACAACTACATAACCCGGACAAACATTACCACAACAATTTATTGCCCACACATTGAACAAATGCAATTGAATGACAGATTGGGAAAGAGAAATAGAAGCAAACTCCCCTACAAGAAGTATCAACGTCCCACATCCTTGTTTCCCAGCCATGTAGGATCAGTTTTAAGAACTCCTCTAGCACAGGATGGCGAATGTACTGCTCCCGCACCTCCTTCCGTATTTTTGCCAGCTTTTCCTCCATCTCTTTGGCCGTCATCTCCCACCCCTCTTCACTGTCGGGAACCATCAAATCGTCCATGCATGCAGTCGTTGCAGGTAGATCTGAAATGGTTGTCAGATTTATGGATTTTGAATTTGGACAGACGATTAGAAATTGGAAGAGTTAGGGTTAGACAGGATTTGAAATCGGGGAAGGAATTACAGTTCAACAAATTCAAGAGTGGAACTCTGCAAGGAGAGGAGAGTAAATGGCCGGAAAAGTGTAAGGTGTGACAGGCGGTGGATGGGAAGATGTAACGAGGAAGATGAGAGAGAGATAGGCCGTAGGATAGGAAGGAAGTAGTATACCGAGGTTGGGGGTAAATGTTTTAGAGGGTATAATGGGTTTTTAGGGTGTAAAATCTTTCCAAATATAGAAAGGGAAACAATTTTCTAGGACAGTCCAAAAAGGAAACAGGGAACAATTTTCAGGGACGGAGGGTGTAGTACTTTTAATAGATTCCCTCTTATAGTTTTCAAATTTGGGTATAACTACTACTACCCCTTATGTGACTAGTATTAGTACTTGGAGACAATGACCAATGAAAACTATATAGTATAGAAAACTAGTTATTCCCTCTTATAGAGGGGTTTTTGCCACATAATTATGTTAAAGGTAGATCAATTAGGAAAGTAGCATATCTTCATAGTGCATGTTATTATGCCCCCAATCGATCTATTTCTTGGATCAGTCACTACTCATCGTAGCATCTAAAAGAATGGGCTTTATTAAAAAAACTCTTAAAAATTATCATGCCAAACATTCAACTAGAAAACTTTTAGAGACTTTTCAAATAGTAAAAAAGCTATAATGTAAAGACTTATAACTATCAAACATGCACAAAGGTCGCACAAAGATTATCATAACAAATATCACGAACCAAATTCTACGGTACCATATTGAATTTGGCCAAATTACGCAAACACTAGGACTTGCTTTTTATCATCCTTATGACCTTATTTGATAATCGACTATTAAATGTTAGCTATTAATTGGTTATGTTAGCTATTAATTGGTTATGTTAGCGGTTTGATAGCAACTGGTTGAAATAATGGTTTCGAATGGGTGATTATGTTACTCCCTCCGTCCCTGAAAATACTTTCAACTTTCCCTTTTCGTCCGTCCCAAAAAGAACTTCCCTTTCCTTTTTTGGCAAAGAATTTGTGGTTCATAGCAATTCTTACACATTTCTCTCTCCTCTGCACAACTCTCAGCCACACAAAACCCACTTTCTTAATCCGTGTGCCATTTGTACTACGGAAGTAAATTATGGGACGGAGGGAGTAGTTATTTACAAATAATTGTTTGGTAAGTTAAATGGATGGAAATAACTATTACTCTCTCCGTCACTAAATTATCTTTCAATTTTTTTCCGTACGTTCCAAAATAATCTCTTCTTTCATTATTTTGGCAAATAATTTCTTAATTTGTGCTTCACACTTCACACTAGGCATGGACCCGGTTCGGGCCAGACTGGGCCTCGGTCCGGTTCCAACCGGGCTTTTTTTTTGGAGAAGTGAGGCCCGGAACTGGCCCGAGTACCTACCGGGTCCGGTTCGGACAAGGCCAACCGGCGTCCGGGTACCCTATTTTTTTTTATTTTCTAATTACTTCCTACCCCTACCCCACCCCCACACCTCAAACACCTCCAAAACATCCAGCCCAACCCATTTACCCTTTTAAAATTTTGAAAAACAAAAAAAAATAAATTTGGCCCGGGCCCGAACCGGCCAGACTGGTTCATCAATTGGGAGGCCCGGGAACCGCCCCTCTACAGTGCCGAGCCGGGTGGCCCAAACCGGGCACAGAACCGTGTACCGGGCCGAGCCGGGCCGTAATAGTACCGGTATGGGCCGGTTACGGGCCGATTAACCCGGCCCAAGTCCATCCCTACTTCACACAAACAATCTTACACATTTCTCTCTCATCTGCGAACTCTCCACAACACAATTTTCCGTTTCTTAATCCACGTGCAAAACCCTATTTGAAAGATAATTCACGGACGGAGGAAGTTATGAAAAAACACAGGACATTATTGTATTCTTGCGGTAATAGTAAGAATAACTTGATTACAATTAATTTAAAATAGAAATAATTCATGTCTATCTAAAATAATAATAATAACATTTTGAGCAAAGAAATTAGTGTACTTAAAGGGCGTTAAATATTTTATATGTTTAGTAGTACAGAGTATATATTCACGTGTAAACAAACTTATGAAGACATTGGTGTATTTCAGTATTTGATAACATACATTTTATCATTAGGGCTAAAAAAATATAATCACAATTAACTATTCAAATGTTTAAGAAGTGAATAAATAAATAATAAAACACTATACGATCAAATATACGATTACATCAAACATTACTGCATACTGATGAAGATTAAGAAGTGAATTGTTGACCTATATTTTTCCCGGGGAAGAGGACTGAACTGGCACAAGTCCACCCCTGGTTGTTTGCTTGCTTATATATAATTTATTTCAATTTGATCTGATTTGATCTTATCTAACCTGTTTAGGATCAAAATGAATCCAATTAAAAACATCCCAACAATTACATTAGCGGATTGTGATACATATTGACGATCCAATTGCAAAATAAAAATCCAAATATTTATTTTAGCAGGTTTTATCACTAATTTGAATTGAGCCTCCATTCTTGAGGATGTATTTCAGGAGTTCTAGGGCTGGCCCTGCTCCCGGCAGCCAACCACTCATGACCGATCCGATATATGGAATTCCAGTTCAGTAAATACAGAAGATTTTGTACTGCCACCCATTACATTTGGTGTGTCCACAAACAGAAATACATCTCCATATATAGATTCTGAAGGGAGGTCAACTAGCTTATAAGCATTGCATATTCTTCTCTTAATTCCCTAGGAGTGTGATATGATATTTCCAGTACATGAGACACTAGGGGGTGCCTCCCACAAAGTACCTCAAAGTTTGGAAGTAATAGACGGGGATCGTTTGGTTAGGGCAATTGCCACCTTAGAGCCTAAAGTTCGGCCCAAATGCTTGCAGATGAATTCTCCGGCAAGCATAAGCTTTGACATATCTACAAATGTTTTCACTCCCATCCCATTGAGCATATACACAACATCTTCAGTCGCCACATTTCCTGATGCACCTTTGGCATATGGACACCCCCCTAGTCCTGATACAGATGAATCCACTGTGCTGATTCCCATCTGTCAACATAGCCACCGCCTTTCCAATTAACTTCAGTCTTTCAGCCCCCTTTAGATCCCAGGGAAAGATAGGAAAGAAAAACAACAAACATAGAAGAAAATTGGAAGGAAACAGCATATAGGAAGACAATAAAAGATAGTCTGAAACTAAAAAGTATAAATTTGGCAGAAACTTGTTTCACTTGTGGGGAAGTTGGACTGTGCACCCCATTTTAGTACGCAAATTTGATTTCGTACCCCTTTTTCAAAATCATTGATATTTGTGCTAAGTTCAAAGAAACTGCTAAAAATGGGATGTAAACTCCAATATATAGTGCAAACTGCTAAGACAAGGGTGTAAACTTTAAGGTTTAGGGTGCAAACTCAAATTTGAATAAAATGTTGGGATGCAATCTCCAATCCTCCCTTTATCTATTGATGTCTATTATTTAAGAAATCTAAGCATATGAGATTTTCAAAACAGAAAAAACTAAGAATATTTCATGGTCCTTTTCATTTTCTACTGTAAAACCAAACATAATAAATCATTTTCAATGATATTTTTTCGATCCCTTGCTTTGTAGGAGATCCGAACATACCCTTAAGAACTAGGACATTCAACAAAATCCATGATGAAATCTGAGGTCAGGACATAAAACTGGGCTTCCAACCTGGTATGTTAATGTGTTTGGAAAATTGAACATCTACTCCCTCCGTCCCATATTTATCTCCTGAAGTACAAATGACACACAGATTAAGATAGTGGGAAATGTGTGGTGTAGAGTTGTGCAGAGGAAAGAGAAATGTGTAAGAATGTGTAAGAATGGTTGTGAACCACAAATTCTTTGCTAAAAAGGGAAAGAGGAGATAAATTTGGGACAGACCGAAAAGGAAAGTATGAAGATAATTCCGGGACGGAGGAAGTATATCTAACCAATAATGCCAACCCAACTTCATATTCCTTATCGCAGACTTCTCAGTTACCTTTCATGTCGGAAAAACTAATAAAAAGCATAGGTTTATTTGTTTCCATAAATAAAATATTCACTGTGGCCAGATCAAGGATAAAATCCTCATTTCAGATTACTAAACTGTGAATTTCAGACCATCCTTTGTTCATAAGCTAATATATAACAACCGTCGGTAGTTCCCCCCAATGAGTGCATGGTTCCAACCATTTATTACTTCACACAGATTGGTATTCCACAAATAACCACTTACCTGTAAGGACACAAGAATGTTAGACAGGGCTTGGCCATATGTATCATGAAAATGGACAGCAAGCTTCTCCACAGGAACAACTTCACAGACAGCATCTAGCATTGGAATGACCGTACCTGAGCAAAGCAGTTGCAGGTCAAAAGTTGTAAAAAGACCTATCAATGCCTTTTTTCTTTGGGTATGAACGAACTCTAATCAAAATGGAAATGATAGGCGGTCAACATGTTCAATTCTTATCCCACTGTGAAACCACTTAGCACATTCAGAAGCATTAGAACCCTTACAATGATATTTAGTGACTCTACTGGAGGATCAAGTGCTCGAATTGACAAAATTCGTTATTAGTTTTGTACGTTTGCCAATTCCAGTTGCCAAAAAAGAACAGCTGACAATGCAAATGGCATGGAGAAAGACCAGTCTATCACTACCTGGAGTGCCAACCCCAATTGTATCACCAAGGGATATTTCAAAGCAACCCATATCTAGAAGTTGTTTAGCAACATAGGCAACTTTGGAAGGAGATACTGATCCTTCCACTGGACAGCCCACAACACATGATACATATCTGGTAAAAGAAGTATATATACACGTTTAACCAAAACATAAAGAAAATTGTGTGCCCATCTACAGTTTAAAAATTAATAAATCAATACCTGTAGAACGAAGAAAGTTCAAAGATGATGCAACTTTAAAACAAGAATTTGTAAACATATGAGAAGGCATACCCACGAACTGGAATGGAGTGGTTTTTGGCTGCGCGAGCAATATCACGATATTTGGCGAGACTCTCTTCAATGCTACAATTTATATTTGACCGAGAAAATGACTCAGAGGCAGCAGCAAATACTGCAACTTCTTGAGCCCCACTTGAAACAGCAGCCTCGAAACCCTCAACAACGACACATTTATAAATTAGTACACCAAAGTTCAATATTTGACATGTAATGTTAACACTGCTGAAACACCGGATTATCAAATAATAATAATAATAGCTCCAGTAGTTGTACTAGTAGCAGTAATGGCAGTAATAAAAATATTACTCCCTTCGTCCCGCAAAATAGTTCTCGCTTTCCTTTTTGGGCCGTCCCAAAAAATAGTTCCCATTTCCCTTTTTGGAAAGTTTTGTGTGGCTACCATTCATTTACCTATTTCTTACTCATCCACAACCATACATATTCCCACTTTCTTAAACTCCGATCCAAATCCTAGTGGGAACTATTATATGGGACGGAGGGAGTATTTATTATCACCACCCTATATCGTGAAAATAATATTAGTATTAGTAGTGGTGGCAGTGTAGTATCCCTTCTTATGAACTTGATATGGGAATGGCATCCCACGTAGCATTGCCAATGCTTAATGCATGAATTCATAGTCTTAATTACACTAGAAGTTTAATGTCAGAGCCCCCAACAAGTTGTGATGGAGGTGATGATAATGATGACGATGATGAGTAGTGGTTGTGTTAGTAGTAGACCAGTAGTCATAGCAGTAATAGTAACTATGATTATGATGATAAGCCTTATTCCTAGCATAGCCCCTCCATGAGAAACTCACTTTCATATTTGGTGTTAATACTGGAAATCGCACTCCTTCAATACTTTGAATTTCTTGAATTACTTCCCTTGCATCAGCAAGCTGTAGATTAAAAAAAGTTTTCAAATTAAAGAAAGCAAAATGCACCAAACTCCTTACTAACACAACTAATTGAGGGAAGCAAAATGCACCATTATCCTCACTAACACAAATTTAGGAAATCCTTGACCGTACATAACAATAGTGGTTATTTAAAAATATGGGGTAGCTACTTTATCGAACAATAGACTTAATCACACTCCAATGAAATGCTAACAAATAATCACATACAAGTACTCCTTCATGTACTCATCTAATCTGTTATCGTAGCAAAAAGTTAACAAATAAACAAAAAGAGAGTAAGGAAATTCTATACCTGCGGTACCCACTTTGGCGACACAAAACTTGTAGCTTCCACAACCGACAGCCCAGCAGAAACAAGCATTTTTATTAGTTCAACCTTCACACTTGTAGGTATGATATTTTTCTCATTTTGCAAGCCATCTCTTGGACCCACCTCTACTATTCTCACAATCCCAGGCATACATCCCAATACCTAATTAATTCAAAACTAATTATAAGTGGAAATGGGAAAAAAATAAATGGGACCTGAAACCTAAAGATTACATGTTTTAGTGAGTTGAAAGAATGAAAGTACCTTGTTTAGGCCATTGCTGGGATATGATTGGGTGCCATAACAGTGGCGTAACTTATGAAAAGAATCATGCGCTGCTCCAGGCACATCAGGTTTTTGGTTGAAGACAGGATTTAGTGAATATCTGTTTGTTTGTCTTTGCCATATATATGATCCTGCCTTGCCCTCCTTCCTGTTAAGATATACTTTGTTTTGCTTCCATGTACAAAGTCCAAAACAAAAGACAAAAAAATGTTTCATCAAATGATAAGTACTCCTTTATTTGAAAAGCAAAAAGGACCGATAAACAGTACATGATCCACCAAAAGAACTAGCTGATTCATTACATCGACTTAACTGTCAATCCAAGACTGGCTTATAAAATAAGATTGCATAAAATTGCTTGTAAATGACTTCCAAGAAATAAGAGATGAAACGTTAATGCCCACGATAGGATTATGCATATATACAAGCAAGCTTCTTGTGAGTTTCAATAAAAAAATCAAAGGCAATAGAATATATGATGTTAAAATCAATATAACGAGTGTCCTTACTTCATGTGGCTTAAATGAAAATGTTTCTTTCTGTGGTTCACCCTTGGTACTCTGGAGTTCCATTTCAGGCACAGTGTAATAATCAAGCACACGGTAGGCACAAGATCTTCTCCACCTGGAAACCTTTCTAGCAGTCTGGTGTGCTAACATTGGATCACACTTAAATGTGTGGAAGCAAACACATTAAGGATACAATTTTGCTCCTGATGTTTATCTGCCAAAAATGGCCACAGATTATCAGTGCAGCAGCATAACAATAACAAAATAATGAATATCCAAAAGAATCAGCAATGATTTGAGCATAAAGCCCAACTGTATAAGAATTTGAGCAGAACTCCGAACAGTCGTTGGGGTCAATGAAAACTTTGTTAACCTGTAGTAATGTACCGGGTGAGAATTCCTTCATTGAGCCTACAAAGGTATGGTCATCATTTCTAGCTAGCTAAATTCATCAGTAAATACACATTGAAAGAAAAAGTGCTCATTTATTTGAAAAGGAGAAGACCTGCTAACACTTATTGATGTATCAATAGAACTAGCTAACAACAATTTCAGCTGGGATTGTAAGACTTGCCCCTGTTATTTATAAAATAAGAATGCATAAATAAGATTCCAACTGACTTGAAACAAATAAGAGATGACTTCAAAGTCCAAACTAATGCCCTTGACAAGTTTATCCACATAAACCAGCTTCTCACTGCCTTGCAACATAAAACTATTGGTTTGTAGAGTGTGTGATGTTATAATCAATCTGAGATTCCTTAGTTCGCATATATTTAAAGAGAATGAGCAATATATTTCAACAACATAGCATTGTAATGTTTATGCAGAAGAATTAGCAGCCATTTGAGGATAAACCCTAATTCAGTCATTCTTTACATCAAACACGCAGAAGAATTAGCAGCCATTTGAGGATAAACCCTACTTCAGTCATTCTTTACATTAAAAAAACTAATTCCGTTACTCACAGAGCCGATTTCGAAGTAGAATCAGCAAGAAGAAAACATTGTACAGCTTCAAACACGCAGCAGAAGCCGAGCAGCGATCAAAAAGTTAAAGGGACAAAAAAAATTTGGACCATTTCTCGATTTGTGCGTGTCATCCTTGCGCAGGGGCCATGCTAATCTTCTCTGTATCGTTCCAATTTTATCGGATGTCCCCGAAGGGACAACAAACTCTCAGAGTCCTCCGTATATGTAGTTTGTAGTAGCTTCTGCTGCTACCGGTGTGGGTTCAGGAGAGGTACTGAATCTGTAAAAAGACTAAAGCGACTAAGCGAGCATGCAAATTAGGAAGAGACGATCCTTCCTTACCTTTACCCGTCTAAATAAAGGCCTAGAGAGTTCCGGCCCAGTACTTTAAGCCCGCTGGTAGTAATGGACTTCAACTTCTTCTAATATTCTTTAAAAATGTTCTCTTTTGTCTACACTCTAAACTTAACTTGTACATTTATCTTCTTTTTTCTCAAAAAAGAAGGTTTTCTATTTTCTTTTCTTTTTTTCTGCATTTCATTAACTTTAGGGGTTTTTACAAGATTTAATATTACTAAAAATAATTCATGCACAAAAATCAAATCATTTTTTGATTTTCCAAAAAATAGGACTAAATAAGTGGCGTTAAAAAAAACGGACCTAGCAAGTCGACCTGGAATCCGAAAGTCTACCCAGTGAGCCATTTAAACCCGTAATGAATTCGGACCTCTCATCACCCGGTAAAAGTTAAAAACCCTTTGACCCCCCCCCCCCCCCCCCCAACTAAGAACCCTATTTCCGAAGAGCTTCATCGGTTTATCACGTCATCTCCCAACCTATGCAGCTATGTCCATCGTAGCTTCATCTTTATTAACAAATACGAATTTTTAAAGATGAAATATATCGGTATAGGACCCGAATGATATAAAACTATCAATATAGGACCTAACATTTCATAGGTTTTGATTTGTTTAATTTTTTATTAATTCCATTGCTTTTATTTGATCAATTTTTCTGCACAAAAGTTTATTAGTTTTTCATCATTCGGGTCTTATACCGATAAATTTCATCTTTCATGTACTGAATTGATAATTTCTCTATCTTTCAGGTCATGGATTGATAAAGTTCCTAACAAATTACAATCCATTGTCTCCACTGCATCAAAGCTTCTTCAGAAGCTTCATCATTTATCACTAAGCTTCTCTGTGATGCATAACTTACTCGTTTCTTTCAAATTGTATGACCAAATCATCACCTTAAATAATTGGATTTGTGAGGCTAGATAAGATTGAAAACTACAACCATGAAATATAATTTTTTACACACAAATTCCCAACATAAGTAACATATATAAGCAGGTGTTGAGGTTTAAAACTTCAAATAAATTAGAATTTTTGACACACTCAATTCATCTTCTATAATAAATACCTGCAGTATTAGTTATATCAATGATGCTTAGTGTACACCCTGTGTTACACGGTTACACCTATTTATTTTCCCTTCACACAGACAAAAGTAGTACAAATACGGACATTTAATGATAAAATTTGTTTGTGTGAACAAAATTTGTGTGTGTGTGTCAATCATGGCGTACTTTTTTTGGCAAATTTGTCAGGAAACCAATGTCGATTTACATAGACAAAAAATGTATGGGTACAGACACTTTTTCCTTTACAGACAACTAATATTAGGGTTAAGTTGTCTCTGTATGCAAACAAAAATGTTACACTCAGACAACTAATATCCGTGTACACAGACAATGGTTCTCGTGCAACCGTCCTCATATTTATGCAAAAAAGTATGTCAATATAGACAACTTAACCTTGATATTATTTGTCTATAGAGACAAAAAGTATATGTATCCATACATTTTGGGTTTGTGTACATTGACATTGGTTTCCGTGCAACCACCTCGACAAATCTGCAAAAGGAAAAGTATGCCATGATTTACCTACACAGACATGCACAGAAAGAAATTTTATAGATAAGCGTTTGTATTTGTACTTTTTTGTCTGTGTGAAGGACAAATAAATAAGTGTAATCCAAGGTGTACACCAAGCATTATTGTAGTTATATTGAACCCGAAAAGTAACAACAATTATCAATGTGGCGACCTCCACCTGCCAATCCTAGGTTTCATCGGGCTTGCATCGGGAGGCATAACTCTAACAACTACTGGGAGGAGTTTCGTAGAGAACGAATGGCGTCAATGACCAGACTGCAATAATGTCTGGCCGTTGTAACCAGGCCGAAGTGCGACCGGCGATCTATAATCGACGGTTACCTATGTTGACTAGGTAAGAGCTGGATGGGCAAGGATCGAGCCCGAGCAGCTATCTCCGCCTGGCGAACATGGGTGAGCTGGTCAAGGATGTCATGATGAGATTGAGCCAAACAAGAAGATGACTGCGTGGTACAATCTCGAGCATTAACTGAGCAGCTGGGCAGCAAACATTCAAGTATAGCCGTCAATATAGGCCGAAACTCACGGGTTGACCCGTTTCAACCCATTTATTGATGGGTTAGGGTTATCATTTTCTAACTCGAATAACTCACGGGGTTTGCAATCCAACCCACTCGGGTTGCGGGTTAAGTGGGTCGACCTGCACGAGTTGCGGGTTGACCCGCGAGCCAAAATACAACGTATAGTTTTGACTTTCATTATCTTCAATATTATTCTTTTACTACCAAAATTATTATATTTAGGATTATAAACTTATCATTTTACAACCATTGCAAAGTACGTAGTAATTATTATTTCTATCACAACTATTTAAATAAATCGTTCATCCATGTATTTAATGTAAATTTTAACAATTAATTGTCATGATTCCGATGTATTTCAGGAGAATTACATCGACTAATTTGAATTGAGCCTCCATTCTTGAGGATGTATTTCAGGAGTTCTAGGGTTGGCCCTGCTCCCGGCAGCCAACCACTCATGACCGATCCGATATATGGAATTCCAGTTCAGTAAATACAGAAGATTTTGTACTGCCACCCATTACATTTGGTGTGTCCACAAACAGAAATACATCTCCATATATAGATTCTGAAGGGAGGTCAACTAGCTTATAAGCATTGCATATTCTTCTCTTAATTCCCTAGGAGTGTGATATGATATTTCCAGTACATGAGACACTAGGGGGTGCCTCCCACAAAGTACCTCAAAGTTTGGAAGTAATAGACGCGGATCGTTTGGTTAGGGCAATTGCCACCTTAGAGCCTAAAGGTCGGCCCAAATGCTTGCAGATGAATTCTCCGGCCAACATAAGCTTTGAGATATCTACAAATGTTTTCACTCCCATCCCATTGAGCATATACACAACATCTTCAGTCGCCACATTTCCTGATGCACCTTTGGCATATGGACATCCCCCTAGTCCTGATACAGATGAATCCACTGTGCTGATTCCCATCTGTCAACATAGCCACCGCCTTTCCAATTAACTTCAGTCTTTCAGCCCCCTTTAGATCCCAGGGAAAGATAGGAAAGAAAAACAACAAACATAACCGACGATTATCTATGTTGACTAGTCAAGAGCTGGGCGAGCAAGGATCGAGCCTGAGCAGCTATCTTCGCCTGGCGAACATGGGTGAGCTGCTCAAGGATGTCAAGATGAGATTGAGCCAAACAAGAAGATGACTGCGTGGTACAATCTCGAGCATTAACTGAGCAGCTGGGCAGCACACATTCAAGTATAGCCGTCAAGATAGGCTGAAACTCGCGGGTTGACCCGTTTCAACCCATTTATTGATGGGTTAGGGTTATCATTTTCTAACTCAAATAACTCACGGGGTTTGCAAGCCAACCCCCTCGGGTTGCGGGTTAAGTGGGTCAGCCTGCACGAGTTGCGGGTTGACCCGCGAGCCAAAATACAACGTATAGTTTTGACTTTCATTATCTTCAATATTGTTCTTTTACTATCAAAATTATTATATTTAAGATTATAAACTTATCATTTTACAACCATTGCAAAGTATGTAGTAATTTTTATTCCTATAATAACTATTTAAATAATTCGTTCATCCATGTATTTTATGTAAAGTTGAATATAATTTTTAACAATTAATTGTCATGATTTACAATTAATAATACAAAACTTTTAAGTAGATCTTTAGTTAATTAGTTTTATAAAATATTTGAATTAGATAAATTATGTGAAGTGGAATGTAATTTTTAGCAATTAGTACTTTTAATAGATTCCCTCTTATAGTTTTCAAATTCGGGTAAAACTAGTACTACCCCCCGCCCCAAAACATGATGAAAGTTTAAAAAAAAATTATATTTTAATGAAAGTACATTTCACAAAGAACATTTTCATGTCATTTTTATATTATAAGTAATTACCAATATATATATATAGTTGATCAAAGTTATGAATTTGTCTAAGTATTTTGAGACGGAGGTAGTATTTAATAGTCTTTAATTAAACTTAACAAATATTGAGTGCTTAGTATTTTGATTTTTTATAGTTCCTTAATTAGTATTTACTAATATAAATATATAATCTATTATATTGATTTTTAAAGAATTTTTCCATGTATATTTTCCATTGGACCGCGGGCTGGGCCATTTAACCCACGGGTTAGGTGGACTGGGCCAAAATCTGGCACTATGGTTGCACAGAAGGTTCACATTGATAGTATGAACATTGCACCTACATTCTCACTTTTAAGATGATGCATGTTAAGAAACTTTTGTTCTTTTAAACGTTTCCAAGTCAATTGCCTGTTGATTTCTCACTCTTTTGAGGAGTTCTTATTCTAAATGATCTCTCACAAGTGTGATACTTAATATGTGGGCATGAGTGATGTCTGGTTCTAAAAGTAGTGTTATGCGGCTAGTTTATATATGCTTTGTAATTAATCAAATCCTTTTATTATTATACATCAGTTTTTGCCCAAAAAAATCAAAATATGCATTTAGAAATTGGTCTGGATGCACCAATCTGTCTCTGTTTTTTATAGTATGAAAAGATCAATGTGTATTCATGTGTAGTAGTGCTATGTTGGCATATATTTGAAGCGTTTATGTAAAACATGTAAGGAGCAACTAATTAACAATCTGTGATGAGTTACCCTAACAAAATAAAAGATTTTGTTATTTCAGTTTTGTAATTCATGATTTCATGTTCAGTTTTGAGTAATAAAGGTTTTTTTTTGTTATTTGATAACATAGCCTTTAAATATTCAGGTTTATTTTTATATTGACTGTATTAGACTGTTGAGTGCAAGAAAACACAAAGTGAGTTTCGAAATAGCATGCCAATAAGTATATGTCCCCATATATTGTTGTTGAAATTGAGCGAATAAACCTGCAAAAAAGTGTTAGAAAATAATATAACTCGAGAAGCGTGAAACGCTGTACTCAAGAAAGTA